GGTTTTCTTGCCGCGACCTCACTTTGCGTGTCGGTGTCTTGAGAGGGGATGCATGTGGACTGCAGTGCATTACTGGATGAATGCGGCAGAGGCATCCGGTTTCTTCTTGAGGAAGTAAGTTTGCAGCCACCTTGATGCATCGTCGACCACCACCATCAGATACTTGTATCCTCTCTCGCTTGGCTGCTTGATATGTGACAGGTCGAGGAACAGTGGCTGCATCTAGATCTGCCTTGTGCGTGACGCTGTATGCATCAGCTGCTGTGCATTCGTCTCGCGGCTGAGCCGTACCACTGTTCTGTTCAGCAGAAAAAGACCGACAAACTGATGGTACATATTTCGCTCACATCATGACGGTCCTCGCACAAAACCCAGTCACAAGAAGCAAACTCAATCAGCCGGCCCTTTGTCCTCCTTGCGCACGCAAACATACTCATACACCATCATGTGAGAACACAGAACAGCAGCAGAGTGACCATACGAGCGCACCCAGAAGTCCGTTTCTAATGAGAACGAATTACACGGCACACGCAATCAGCACCGACTAAGTAACTCAATGACGCAAAGCACAACGCCCCTACCCACATACACCAATGCACCCCACCCCTGATCAAAAAACACACGGCAATGCAGGCGAGAAGATGATGCCGCCCAGCAGGACGCACAAGAGGAAGAGCACCAAGAGAATGCTGTATGCCCCCCGGGTGAATGGCGACTTCTGTGGGCACGGCACCGCCACCTTCTGCGGCGCCCAGCCGCCCTCGCACGTGTCACCAGGCACTCGGCGGTAGGCATCCATGTAGAAGAAGTTGCCGGAGGTGCAGTGAGGGGCGGTGAGGTTGGGGTCCTCAGGCTGGCACTCGAGTGAGCCGATCTTGCGTGTGAAGCCGAACTCGCACTCGTAGTCGTCCTCAGTGCACACGCAGTTCTTCAAGCTGCGCGCCAGGGGGCGGGAGAAATTCCACCAGGTTGGTCTTGTGTAGGCCGTCGGCCATGACGATCAGCCCACCGTGGTCGCCGAACTCGTAGATGAAGGCGCCCTTGTGGGCTTCCACCCACGAGAGCCCGCCGTCGCGCGAGAG